CAGTTACTCCATGCTGGGTCCTAGGTGGCAGAAGCAGCCTCCTGTTATCTGGCAGGCATATTGGGGGCCTGTCTGCACCCCTGGGACTGCTGCAGGGGTTCTGCTGGACTCCTCCTGGGTCTGCAGGCCCCTGATCTGCCTGCGCTGCTCCTGCTCGTCAGCAACTTGATGTAGCTTCCTAGAAACCTCTGAACCTATCTCCTTGAAACTTGGCGGGTTTCATGCCCTCGGAAGGGGCTACCAACCCTGCAAGTTTTCATCAGAATTGGGCAAGAAATGAAAGGGTTTTTTTGTTTTTTGTTTTTTTTAACAAGCTGTTTTGTGCTTCCCCATTATAGCCTATAGGGAAATGTCGAAACAACAGCAAAACCGCTTTGATGGAACTGTGCTTTTGAAATGAAATGCTGTTTTTTGTCGAAGCAGAACACTGCTGTTTTGTGCAGCCCTTGTTCTCAACCTCTTTTTGTACTAAGACCCACTTGAAAACATCAATGACCAGGTCCAGCCCAGTGCTTCTTGCTTCTGACCCACTGTCCCCTGCCTCTAGCCCCTCAGTATGTGGAGCTGGTGGGGGGGTGGTGGAAGCAGCCTCTCAAGGCTGGAACTCTGGCAGCCTGCAAAAGAAAAGCCACAGCTTCCCATCCTCTTCTCCTTTTAAAGGAGAATCCATTTTTTTAAGTTTGTTTGTGACCCTCTCATACTGCATTCTTGCCATGCACTTCTGGGTTTGACCCAGAAGTTGAGAAATGCTGGTCTAAAAAGTGGTGATTGATGCCTGAAGGAGGGGGTTCCAGGAAAGTTTTAAGAGAAGTGCATGTTTTAACTCCCAGTTACCATGGGCTAGGGCTGACCCATTGGCAACACCAACCTGCTTAGCCAGCGACCGGAGTTCGTGAATGTCTGTGGCAGGTGCAGCAGTAATGTGTTTTCTAGGAAGAGCGAGTGCTAGGAACTGCTGACACCACAGTGTTCTCCCCCTCTCCCACCTTGCTATGATCTTTTCTTTGGGGGGAGCACTTAAGTGAGACCTGAGTGAGTCTGGGCTCATGAGTAAAGGTCTTCATGAGTGAAGACCTTTGAAACTTCTTGGCTGAGATCTTAAAATAGTTAAGAAGGCTTGTTCCTGGACTAGTGTTTCAGGGGAATTTGGAGCACAGCAGTGATGCACTGATTCAAGCTGACTTAAGAGCTGTTGCACACCTATGGATCATAGCTCTGGGGGAACATTGCCTCTTGCTAACTTAATGCAGCCAGAGTTCATGTTGACAAACTCCAATGACCTTTGCTAGGCCACTATCAAATGGGGATCGCAGTCCATTTCCCAGTGGGCAGGTAATTCCCTCCCTTCCCCTAGAACACCAGTATTTTAAGGGGGTTTTTTTATTCTTGTTTTTTTCTTTTAACTGGGCTGCTTGCTGATGGGTTCAGGTGAGAGACCATCTCCTTGTCCTAAAAGTGCCTGTGCCCCACACCCCCTGCCACCAGTCAGAGCTAAAGTCTAAGAATATGGTCCCAAGAGTGCAGCTTGCTATAAACCTGTTCTGTAGATAGACGGGCATTTCCCAGCTGCTGTTCTTTGCAGACATTTCTTTTGGGAGGGCAACTAAGTAAAGTCATATGGAGCCTTGAGATACTGAATGTATGAATGGTCAGTCCCAGAACTAGCTGCAGCTGAAAGCTCTACTGTCATTGCGAAAGGCTGTGTCCTTGAAGTCTGCAATAAGATCTTCATCACTAGTGTTGCTGTGCCCAGCAGGGTGAGCGTCACAGGGCTTGCTGCCAGAAGCAAATTCCACTGCTAGCAGTAATTGCTGTGCAACCCTTCGGGGCCCAGGACTTTGTTCAGAAGCTGCCTGTGGTGATCTGCCTTCTGATCCTTAAGTACAACACATTCCTTGCCTGCAGGTACCAGTAGGGTCAGTGCAGCTTTGCTTTAGGGGTGGAAACTAGCTCCCCAGGATATAAAGGGTTTGTTTACAGTACCTCAAAGATGCTCCCTGGCCTGAGCAGAAAGACCAGCTGTTATCTACTCTTACTCCTGTGCTGAGATGGGTGTCAGCATTTGCATAAAGTGCTTGTCATGCTCTCTCGCATGTACTCAGCCCTTCTCTTCAGCTGGAGGAAAATCTGGGTCTGTGTTGAAGCCCATATGAAGGTACTTGC